AATATAAGGCCTTAATTATGCTAAGATCTAGCCCATTAAAACACGATCGCACGGTGTCTTCTTCAGTAGCATTAATCCAGAAAATCCTTCAGCCGTCCACACTACACGAATTGGCCTGAATCGTAGACTTTTTCAGTGTATTTCTCCGTTTTACTCTGCAGAGGATGTGGTCTTCTGGTCAGGAATGAGCCTCCGTCCAAAGAGCTACAGAGGAGTAAGGAAAATCCACATCGAGAGAGAAATAGACCCTCAGGATATACGTCCACATAAACAGAGTGAAGCCGTATGGCGTAGCAGACGATATCTTCACGTCAAATAATCCAGTTTTTACGCTATGACACAGAAAATAAAGAGACCGTGTGGAGCAGCAGAGAGGGGCAGTGCTGTGTAGTGGGCTAAATGGCTCTCTGTCTGGAAATGAGGCGGATGGTTTGGGTGCCCTTGCTCCGTCTCCAGTCTCCAGTGCGCATTGACGCGCCCGGTCACGTGTGTGTCTAGACACCCTGTCGCTTAAAAGAAATGTGATTGTGTTGCGCAAACAACAGATCAAGTAGAGCCCACAGCGCGCGCACACATGCACAGACACACAAACACACACAAAATACAGTTGGCCTATGTGAAAGACTACTCTTTGGAAAAAAAGATAGGTTTGAACAGATGGAAGTTCGGGCATAAAATGAAAGTTTATGTGGGCCTAAAGAATAAAGCAAAAGTTAAAACATTCATACAATACAATCGTCTAATCTTGCATTATAACATTTTACTTAAAGCCTAAATCTTACAATAGCGCCAACAGCCTAATTTGACCTATGCAATATTTTATAGACAGCATAATTACGCCTAGGCTGCGTGAAAAGGCATAGAGTTAAAATAAATGATTTGTTAAATAGTCAACAAGGGCTTTATGTCACTCACCATTAATGGCAATTAACTTAAAAGGTTGTTTTTATTTGGCTATTAGTTCGCGCGAGTGGTGCTTGTATTATCTTTGTCATTTTTGGCAGTACGTCAAGGCGGACTGTATTTTATTTGGTATTCCTGCACACGCCAGAGAATCTGGAAATAGAGGAAACCGATGAAACTTGAGATGCTGCTAGACTGAATTTAGGACAGTAATCAATCCCTGTGGTCTGGAGGGGGAGCCACATGGGAAAGCGTTGCTGCCGCCTTCTGGACACCGGGAGACCACATCTGCACTCAGACTAGACAGGCACCCAAGCAGCAGGAGCGAAGGAGATTTGGTTGTTAAACAATTTCCAGACCTTTATTGTATAGAACAAAGCGGTCCATCAGTTCAGGATCAATCTCCCCTTTCTTTCCTGGAACTAAAGCTGTAACAGGATCTACCCATTTTATTTAGTGCTGGTCTAAGAAAATCTATATTTATTATGAGTTTTTTTATTTGATCATTTTTCTGTGTGTATCTCAAGAAACAAGAACCTGACAGGCAAACATAACGGAAAACACTATATGCCTCTTACTCATATTGTAAACAGGCCTAGCCTGTTTGTAAACAGGCCTACCCTATTTATACAAAAAATTTTTTTATCTATTTTGGCATCTCATATGTAGGTGTACTGTACTACTACTGTAGGCTAAATGTTATAGCCTGTGTGTCAAAATGATAATGAAAAGATTATTATTATTATTATTATTTTATTATTGCGACACCACAGATTGAGGGGAGTTGGACAGACATCATTGTGTTAATGTATTGGCATGACTACAGTGGTGGCTAACAAATGGTCCCATTTAATTTCCATGTCAAAGAAATAAATGCATTCTCATTCTGAAACTGAAATCAAGTCAGTTTCATATTATATTAAAGTAATCTGAAACTTTTGAACCAATTTAGGACTAATATAGGCCAACATCAGATCTACCATAGGCCCTATACCAAATGTAGTTTGCAGTGTTATAGGGTCCCATTTCTGCCTTGCTTGTGAATTGTATCCAGAACAGTGACTGTCTTGATTTATTGTGTGATCAGCTGTGTGATAGTTGCTTAATGTTGTATATATATTTATCTTTCTCACCCCAAAACATGCTACATAGGTCTCTAGAAAGAACAGTTGAAAGCTAGGGTCAATTAAATACAATCAATCAATGAACCTGCTCAGGGACTACAGGTGGAAATTAGCACTGGTGCTACAACCTGATGTACAATGCACCTCTCCTGTTAAGGTTAATGTAAAAATTGTGCACTGTCCCTGTCTCATTAAATAAATAAATAAATAAATAAAACTGTTATTACTATTTTGATCTGTAAAAAAAAAAAATTCAAAATCAAAAACTGGGACATCACTGGTTGGTTGGTAATAATAACATCATGAAACAAGTGCATAATTAAGAAAAACTGTTATGCACTTGGCCCCTTCAACTTATTCACATTCAACATGTGAGTCAGTATAGTCACATTTTCTTTGTGTTTTGGTCATTTTTAAGCAGCTTTTCTGTATTTTACCTAAACAGATGACAATTTATTCTCCTCTTCACTGTTGACAGGTATCAAATTGGTCAAAATAAGGACATCAGGGACATTTCTTGTATGAAACTGAAACAAATCAATGGTTTTGGATAAATCTGCAGGGACAGGGGATACAAAACTGGGACTAGTCACCCTAGACCTGGGTATTGTACAGCGTCAGGGCCACACAAGGACCTTTGCTCGACTCTGACTGGCTCATTTAAGCTAATTTGGAATTACAACATAAACATATTTTTTTTTATTTTACCTCATGCATGGACTAAAGCTGCATTGCTTTTATTTTAGAAGTGTTTTTATTATTACATTTTTTTGTAAGGCAACCTCACTGTTTCATTGCTTAGTCATAACATATACCCCCCTTCCCCCCATACTAGTACATGCAGCAGTTACCATGCTGACACAACTCAAATATTGGTAAACACTAGTCTGAAAACTCAATACAAAATGGAAAATTGATTTAAACAGCACATTTTCAGGAGCCTGTGGTCAATATGAGTGTTCATGGTCCTGTTAAGGTGTTTGATTTTCAATAAAAAGGTCAGATAGATCAACTGAAAAAACTTTTGGCTAATGTTAGATATCTTCTGACTATAAGCTAATGTTATTTGAGAGGGTAACAGTTGTTTGTTGTTGTGTTTAACAGTAAACTCCAGCTCACCTGTTGTAGTTCCAACTAAGCCAGTTTATGGTCAGATTGCCAGATTTATGATCAGACTGTGTTAAAATAAAGCTCAAATTAAAATCTAACAAAGCCTCAGACAGCAGAGCCTACAGTTAGCATCCCACTTCTAGGAAATGTTGATCACATCAGCTATAAAGTATCAATAGAAAGGTTGTGGAAGATGACATCAAAAAGTGAAATAATACTACTAGATAGAATATATGCATAATGTTCTCTGCTTAAAAGTTCACTGCGTAACTTGTCAAGTTTAGGGTCCACCACCATGGAGATGCACTTGCTTTGCCAGTAATGGCAATAATTCGGCAATATGGTATTAAACTCATACAAGATGAATTTATTCAATTATGGGTGTTTTATTGCTCAAAAATACCTTCAAAAACATGCATTCTGTGAGTGGGGTCAATTTTTTCACGTCTAAATGGGCGTGATGGCATCTCTTGCTTTAATGCAATACTTTGGAACACTGCAAGCAAAGTTGCTTAATTTTCAAAATAAAAAATAAAAAAGTCAAGCCTTAGTATATGAGCAACCAAATATGTCAGCAAATGGGTTACAGCCAAAACAGTACACGGATCAATGTATCGATCCACCAAAAATGGCCTTAAGGAAAATAAGTGGTAGATGGTGGACAGAAAGGGTATGATCTCTGCTCTGTGTCTTGTTTTTTCTAATTGAAGCACATATCTAATTGCAAGTGCAATCCCAAATAACATCATTTCGAGTAATCAAGTAATCTCCAGAAAGATTCTGTGACTTTGATCAATTCTTCTAAAAGAGCAAAACCATTTCATGCAGACACAGGGAAAAAAAACTACTTTTCCCAGAAATCCTTGCTACATCCATCTTGCCAGTGTCACCTGAAACAGGAGCTGGAGGTAACGTGACCCTGTATAATAAAGAAAAAGGGGCTATGTCAGTTTGTGAAAGCGTCCCCTCAACCATCTGGCAGCAGGATAATAGAGCATGAAGCAGGTGAGGGTCTGCCGAGCCTCACTGTAACCTGCCACTGACCCTATGTGGAAAATGGCCTATTCTTTACATCATAGTGCATTCATTATGTTGTCCTTGAGAATAAGAGAATTTCAAGCATGAAAATCAATACAATGGGGACGAAAGGCTTGAAATTCTCTGGGGAAGTGAGAGCTCCAATGACACAGTGGGAGTCTTTGTGTCATAAACTTTTACCCTTGAAGAGGTTACACTGCTTTGGCACCTTCATGCAAAATAGACAGTTAACACATACAATCTGAACATTTACCATAGTTTCGACAAATGTGGTGTTTTATAATTTTGGTCGGTTCTGCTCCAAATTTGTTTGGACAAGGACAAGGTGTGAGATGTCCACTAAAACATCACTGTCTTCTGAAGTTATCCTTGTGTGCATTGACCTTCAGAAGGCTTCCTGGACCAATACAGTGCTCTATTGTGTATAGGTTGAGATTTGCAAACCACTGAATTCACTCCATTACATACTGGAATTTCTTTGGAATTTAGTTTGTACAATGTGTAAAAAAGATTGTATGTGAACTTGACTGGTAACGAGTTATTACAATGTACAAGCATAAAATGAACTTCTCTTCATTCTAAACTACTAGGTTTCTACTAGATAAGTGGATGTTTCTATACAAAAAGTATTTTAACTGGTTCACACAGGTTCACAGAGTAGAGTGAGATCCCTCACTCTACAAACAAACGTCAAACACTCCAGGATGCTTGATGCAACAGTGTAACATTTTGAAGAGAACAAGGGGAAAACACAATTTAATATTCTTTTTAGATATTCTTGACTTGAATCTTAACCAAATCTTTGCTCAATAAACACATGACATATTCCAGATTTTGATAATTATTATTTTTTTATTTAACCCCCTTTTCCCAAAGTAATATTTGCCTCAAATGACAGCTCTGCTGGGAAGTCACAATGGTACCTGCACTCATCATTACTAGTAGTCATTTTTGCACTACTAGGACACACATTTAGGGGTTTCTTTGTATATAAAACCAATATACATCAAAATAAATATTTTTTTAAGTAACTTTTCTGAATAAACATCAAATAAAATTAAAAGTATGCAAAACAATGACTGCCCAAACTATGTTTAATCTTTGAATTCCACCAGGAAAAAATATACAAGAAAGTCAAATAAATGGGCAGAGAGCAAGAGAGAAATACAATAAATCAAGAGAGACCATGTTGCATCCTGGGATTTACATGCATTTTTCACTAAATATGAAGCACTTCTGTAGCCTGGAACAGAAATGTTCTGTTTCTATTTAAGTCTGACCTGTTTAAACTTACAAAAGCAAATTCTATTACAGACACCTGTATAAACAGGAGTGTTTAAAGTAAATATTTATATTGATAGAACAGATGCATCCCAATAAATTAAAATAGTGTAAAAAAGTGATATTATATCATCTATACAATTCAATATTCAAAAAAGCCTAGATGTAGACACAGTGGAAGAAGGAAGCTGCTAATGGGAAAATACATTTGGTAGCTATACTGATACATATCCTGAAATATTATTTTCCATCAATTTATTGAGAATCCTGTGAATATCAAATTAAACTGGCAGCACAACTGGCTGGCTTGGATAGCAGGTCTATATCGCATAAAAGGTATTAATGTAACAATACATGACAGAGTTTGACCTTTTCATCATAAGAAAAGCAGAGAATGATCCATTGCCAGAGTGAAGCGGTGCTCCAATCAGCTGTGCCACAGAAGCCACTCAAATACTCTATAGGACTTCTATAGGTGGTAAATAACAAGTACAAATGAACCCTGCAGTGTCCAAGCAGAGAATCACAAGGAAGAAAAAGGCTTTGAATTTAACTGACACCCGGTTCTGTACAAGGTTGAGGCACTTTCAAAGCACACACACATACACACACGCTTGCATGTTTGATCAGAGGGACCTGGGACCGTCACAGGTGCATCAGCCAGAGTCCATGCTGAAGAGCTCTATGCCCTGTGGACTCCAGTGCAGACCCACTCCGGAGTTGAAAACCAAGGACCAGACGTATGGGATGAAGAAGTCTTCAGGTTGGTCCTCCTCCACATATTTAAACTTGAGCTCAGGAAATTTCTGTCAAGAAAACACAAAATAGAAAATAAGTAATCTCTCTCTCAAGTAACTGAATTTCCAGTTAGATTAATATGAACAGAACTGCTTATACCCATCCACAGCCCTACTGATCACAAATGGTAAAATAATGAAATATTACTCTTACACTTTAAGTTTTAAGTCTTACACTTTAAGTTTATTTATTCAACCTTTATTCAACTTTATTTTGCCAGGCAAAACATCAAGAACACATTTTTAATGGCACTACAACAGCTATATTTCCATGTACACACCTTTGCTCATTAAAAGACCCATTTATATTAATTATGTTTAGACAACCAACCTAAACAGAAACTCTAGTAGCAACCCGCTGGACAAAATGCTAGGACCGAGTGTGACATGTCTCATTAGATGAATGGGGGTTAACTGTCGCGGGCCACTCTGTGATCATTCTCTGTCAGGTGCAGTGCCGCAATAGCAGCTGTAATTCCATCTATGTGTTAGGCACAACGGTTTACAGCAGCAGGTAGCACTGGTCTATGAGCCAACCACTGACCCTCTAAAAGCTCCCTAATGTGCTAACACAGTCCTGTGAACACAGCAAGCCCCTTCCACAGACAAGTCCAATGCCACACTTCCCACAGGTACAAGCAGACGGCTGCTGCTGGTCTCATATATACATGTTTACAACAAAAGATAATTAAATCAAAACAAAATAAACCACAGCAGTGTCCTTTCTGTGGGTGATGTGATGGTCTGAGCCTGTAGGAAAGTGTGGACTAACCTGATTAGTGGGCAATGGCTGCTCTTGTTAAGAGACAGACACAGGCAATGAGTTTACCCAGCAACAGTTTGTCAGGGCTTAACAGGACAAGCAGAGAGCCGATTACAGATAAATTAGTCAAACATGGGTGAAGGCCTAATTTATATGCAGCAGACAGTCTAATAGTCTTGCTATATGACATTTTTCAAGCTAACCTACATACAGCATGTTTTTAATATATATGTCATTTGTACAGAGAAGAAGCAAGTATGTGTGTATATGTATATATATATATATATATATATATATATATATATATACATACATATATATTATATATATTATATATACACACACATATATATACATATATACACATATATATATACATATATACATACACACATATATATACATATATACACACACATATATATACATATATACACATATATATATATACATATATACACACACATATATATATATATATATATATATATATATATATATATATATATATATATATATATATATATATATATATATATATATATAAATTTTCACTGAAATAACTTGAAACTAAGAAAAGCAATAATAAATAAAAATTTCCTGAAAAATAGCGAATGAAAATCAGACACTGCTTTTGAATTGTTTTTCAACAACATTATTTAAAAAAAAACAACTCATGAAAGTGGCCTGGACAAAAATAATGGTACCCCTAGAAAAGATAGTAAGTAATTGGATGTTAAACTTAGGTGTGTCCTTTAATTAGCGTCACAGGTGTCCTCAGTCAGTCTGCCTGTTTAAAGGGGGACATGTGTCATTGTCCTGTTTGGAGACATGATGGATACAACACTGAACATGGACCAGAGAAAGAGAAGAAGAGAACTGTGACAGGAGGTTAGAAAGAAAATGATAGACAAGCAGGTTAATGGTAAGGCCATAAGACCGTCTCCAAGCAGTGTGATGTTCCTGTGATTACAGTTGCACATGTTATTCAGAAGTTTAATGTCCACAGGACTGTAGCCAACCTCCCTGGACGTGGCCGGAAAATTGATGATAAATTAAAGAGATGGATCATACGAATGGTAACCAAAGAGCCCAGAACAACCTCCAAATAAATTAAATGTGAACTTGAAGGGCCAGGTACATCAGTGTCAGATCGCAACATCCGTCACTGTTTGAGTCAAAACACAGTCAGCTAAAGACACACAAGAATGGCTCAGAACAAATCTTTGGACTGTTCTGCAGCGGTCCGTGAGTCCAGATCTCAATTCTTTTGAACATCTGTGAAATGAGCTGAAACATGCTGTCTGGAGAAGGCACCTTTCAAACCTGAGACAACTAGAGCAATTTGCTCTCGTGGAGTGGTTCAAAATACCAGTTGACCAAAGCAGAAGTCTCATTGACAGTTACAGAAACTGTTTGCCTCAAAACTTGTGCAACAAAATATTAAGTTAAGGGTACCATCATTTTTGTCCAGGCCAGTTTCATTATTTTGTTTTTTTCTAATAATTCTGTTTAACCACAGGTGAAAAGCAATGTTTGATTTTCATTGGACAATTTTCAGTAATTTTTTTCTTTATTATTGCTTTTATCAGTTTCAAATTATTTCAGTGATGATTGTCGATTTTTCATTCATTGCCAGAAGGGTACCAACAACTTTGTTCACGACTGTATATGCATATATGCATATATGCACAGGTTATATGATTTTGTGTAGCAGCACAAACTTAACTACTGTGACTGACAGCTGAAAATTTCCTCATGTTTACTGTCATACACAAGCCCATCATTTCATGTAGCCGCCTACATAACAGCAGGCAGGTAGAAAAGATAAGCATCAATAATGCAGGAGTGTCTCATTAAAAGCTGCTGTCTGCACATGCATGTAAGCACACACATGCACACACAGCCACAGACGCACACACACACAGTCACAGATGTGTGTGTGCGTGCGCACACACGCACACACAACATCGAGTAATCAGTCTGCAGTGAAAGACAGACACTCGCGGCCTGTATGCCACAGTCCCAGTCGGCTCTATTGAGTCCCTGCTGCCTCTATTCACCGGAGCACTATTGGTATCATAATGACAGACACACACGGGCTACGGGGTCACAGGCCATATGCCAGGCTATCACGGCCAGACCGCACACACCACCCCATTGTCGCCGCCTAGACACAATGCCTGAACTGTATTATCCGGCTGGAATTTTGTGAGTAGGTGACTGTTTGGTAGGGCACATTACCAGCTCATCAAAAGTTCATTTGACAGTGACAGCACCTCCCCTACCAGTGAAATCATGCAGGGCAAAAACTGAGGTTGTTCTTTCGGTAGTACTGCTAACTTGCAAGCATAAGCAAATAAAACAAAGAAGTAGCACAGAAGTAAATGCATTAATGACTCTCTATAATTTACATGATGTATGAAACATAATTAACTATGCAAATAAAGCAATTAAGATGATTAAAACATTTATCAGCAAATACTGCAGTGTTAACATATGCAACATATGACTTGATTAATAGAATCTGGGTCCCAAAGTGTAAAATGTATGTGAAGCAAGCTGTGAATATTATGGTGTGCTCTACTGAGGGCACTGGGACTCTAGGAGTCATATAGTGGATAATTTCATGCCTTTCACAGATTGCTTTTCTAAGGCCCTAGTGCACCCTGTACAAAATGAGAGCATCTTGATGCTGCCAAACCCTGTCTCCAATTTTATCTTTGTCCTGTATCTCTGGACACAGTGAAAACTAATTTCAGCTCCTCCTATCTGCAGAGTCCGTGTCACGGCACCCCCCCCCCCCTCCCTCCTCCTCTCTCTCTCGCTCTCTCTCAGCGCTCGCTCTCCTTGGCCTGTTTTTTGTTCCATGTCTGGACCCACTTGGCTGGACTCATATCAGTTGGGTTAGGTCCTGGAAGGTCAGGCCCTCTTCTCTGAGCACAGACCCACTGACTGGCCTCATATCTGCACTTGGGACTGAATGTTCCCTCCTCTGCAGCACTAATAGAGCCCAGTCGCTCCGAGAAGAATGTAGTGAGAAAAATGGAACTGGATACACAAGAGCTCTGAAAGGCCATTCTTCTTTGATGAGGCCTTGATGTTAAGTTTAGCTTACAAACACATTTTTACAAGGTGATTTTAAACAATGGTGGACTGCTATTAATTCAAGCTACTTTTGATACAAATTTACTTAATATCCCTGTTTTGCCATAGCGTTTACGTTGAATATCATTTCTGACATAACCTTCTTGGACCATTAAAAAGAGTAGGATGCCTTATAACTCTCCATATAAATTTTGTTAGCATACATAGTATTAGTTAGTATTAGCCATTTCATGAATCTGTCAATTATGGTGCTCAAATGTGGATTTCTTTGAACTACATTAAGACAAAACAATAACACATGAGAAAATGTAAAGAGTCAACCAACTTTTATAGAGTCTGTCTACAGTCAAGATATTGTTTAAATTCTTTCCCAATACATTTTGGTAAATATGAGTAAATATAAGCTTGTTTCGTTCTTAGTTTTGATACCACTGATGAGAGCGTGTGACGTAACAGTAAGTAGTACATAACCTGTTTGCTTTTCGCTGCCTCAGGCTTGAAGTGAGAGCCGGTAAGCCCCTGCTCTGAAGTCTGTGCCCCCAGGAGCCAGCCTGTCTGTGGGATCTCTCTGCTCAGTGGCACACTTCAGTTGGTCAACCTAAACAAGACACTCCCCCTGCACTGCATCACACCCAAAAACAACATCCACACACAGACGGGCCACTGGAGAGACTGATACTACTGGGCTTAACCACGTATCACAATGTCAGTTGGGACATTATTTGCTTATTTACCCATGCTGGATTAAAGTTAATTGACATGAATATGTATACATACATGTCTTGATGGCTACCTTCCTGAAACAAAGATCTATACTTTGTCTTTATAATGGTCCTTGTAACTCTCCTAACATACAAATGATCACTTTTTAATCACACAGGTCAAAAGATTAATGATTAAAGACATTGTGAAAATATGACAAAGCAGCACTTTTGACATTTGCAGTTTCAAAATGTGTTGTTAGAATTTATAAACAAATTCTATTTTGCTGACTCTTACTCTAGGCACCAGAAAATCTACCTCTGCACATAACTGTTGAAAAACCAGTACCACGCGAAGAGCAGAATAATTACCAACTTATTGATGATTATACACATCATTTATTCAACTTATGGATTTTCCTATTGGGGCGAAAGAGCACAATGAGCTCATAAGATGGAGAGACGCTGCAGGAAGAAAGACAGCTGTTTGCATGAGTGATGGTATCATCAAACGGCTAGGCTGCTCCCATAGGACACATTGACCAGAGATTCTCTTTGCTTTACACCACCCCACGGAGCTGGAAAGCAATCTAATCAACAAGCCTCGCTATAACATTGAACAAGAGAAGTCATATTGAAGTTTGTATGTATGACTGTAGGACTAAGATCTATGGATGCAGCAGTTGATATGAGATGTACTTTAAAAATACTTGGACAAGCAGATACACAGTACAGATGGAAGTCTTGCAGTATCTACCAGTGATAACAAATGCAGATGATAACTTATGTAGTGTGTACAACAATTAGGCATTATGAATCCAAGTGCGTAGTTTCTATCCAGGGACGAGGTGTTGAAAATACCTCTAGAGTGCTAACCTAGTCACCACAGACCACATGCCTTACTTTACAAAGACGTAAGGTCTAGAAGTAATAAATATATATCTTCAAATAGATGTAGACTCTTATTGGCCAACACATCACTGCATAGTGCAGGTGGAGCCGTGTTGAAGGACAGGACAGGGTTATTCACATGACTACATATGTAATTGTACGGCTCGTTGGTCGATTGCTACATTAGTGTTACAAGGTGCTGCCTGAGAGAGCACATAGACTACGCACCATTCCTCTTCCACATCGGCAAGCGAGACAAATGCCTCGCAGGCAGACGCCAACTATAGAACATGAAACATGATGAAACAGGCAATTAAGAGCGTCAGCACCAGAGCAGACCAGAGTGGGGAGACCACTAGGTCCATATTTCCGTGCTGATTAATGGAGGAGCACAGGGAGGGGTGGGGGTTACCGTACCCTGCCTGGAGTGCAGAGAGTGTTGGGTAACGACCCACTGAGACAGATTTATGTCCCACACAGGCACCTCACAATCACATGTGCCCATGACAAAGTGCCCCCTCGCCCCCCCATCCCATCTCCTTGAAATGTCATTACATGTTCATATGTAGCCAGCCAGCAGAGACGGGATGAACATGAGCATTAATGCTAATGAGGACTGGGCTTTGGCCTTATGTCTCAGTTCCCCGTGGCCTGGTCCATACATATCCCATACTTCTCTGCTCCTCACCTATCTACAAAAACTAATTTTTCTGCTGCATTTCAATCTGCCATCCTTCACAGCGTGGCCTTTGACAGCACATTGTTCAGGCTTTCCATTCATCTTTTGCACTTTTTTTCTAATGGCAATAGCTTTTATTGGGCTTCACACTATATTGTGTTTTGTTCTCTTTGGTCTGAGGTTTTGTGTCATAAGTAAACGTTAAATTACCTTGAGTCTGTCTTTCGGCAGAGCCTGGGCTCCCTTCATGATGACCTCCTGGACTCGCTCCACAGAGAGGTCACTACCAGCCTGTTCCAGTCGCTGACTGAAGAAACCAATCACCTATTGAGAAAAAATAAACAATGTACACACAACAAATTTCATGAAATCCATTTTTGACACCAGCAGTAAAAAAAATTATATTAGGAGAATAAATGAGCACACTGGGGCAGCTACTGTAGATATTACACTATAAGTTAACACGTCTTTCATCCCATCGAAGATTAATATACTCTGTTTTGTGTTGAGGAGCTCTGGCTTCTTCCCAGCTTGAAGCTGTCACATCAAGCCTGCATCTGCCACGCCCCACATGATGACACTGGATGCAACATGCTCAAGAGAGCGACATCAGAATGACACTCTACACTTTATATAAGCTCTCTGTTCTGTGCATTGTGTAGATTGCCCGGTGCATTAAAACTTCTCTAGCAACAACTTCTTTGCCTTTGTTATCTGTATAACTTATTATCTCTAACTGTATACGGTAAAGTGCATACATTTTTAAGTGAAGATTTACAACGTTCTCAATGAACAACTAATATCTTACAACTTGATTGAATTAAACTATGCTTAAAAAAAATTCAAAGTTTGGGTTGGCTTACCTTTACGTGGTCTAATCCAATGATACAGAACATACCTCATTATGAATCAGCACAGTTAAATATAAAGCATGCTCAAAGCATAGATCATGCTATGGCATCTGTTTTTGGGGAGATATGTTTATTGTCAGCATCTACATCTTCTCTTGTCTGATGTTTTATTAAAATGTACACATTTTATTCTGTGCTCAGAAAAAAACATAATATAAGTTCAGCAGCAGCACTCAGAAGTTGCTGCAGAGAACTCAACACACTGGAGCCTCATTAGAGTGTATCATGTCATATATCGAATTCTAATCTCTTCATTAAGTTTGGGGGTCTCCCATAAGGGGTTAATTTAGAGAAGCAAAAAAGCTGGCCTTCATCCTGGATCTGCTGCTCACACACACAGATTTGCAGGCTCCGTGGAATAGCCTTAGGGAGGCTGGGTGCACTGAGGGATTGTGGCAAGCATGCTTCCCTCATACTTATGGATAACAGTCGAGCCCATGGCGACGTGTGCACCACCCCCAATCCCCTCACACTCTTGTACACAGTACATAGACACACAGAGGCTGGTTCTTTCTGCCATTACATGACTAACACAGACATGAATGACAGCTTTTTCCCGACTGGGTCCCTCCCCCACACACCAAACTCAATGAATATTTGACAGGGAGTCTCTTGACACAATGGGACTGATTAATTCATCGATAGCTCTACAGTCCAACTGCACTCACCATGTTAACAATGTGTTACAGACCTGTTCAGTTTCTTAAAAACTTTCCCTTAAGATCCTTAAGGCATTAATGGAGATGTCTGCTTAACACTGATATGTGTAATCATTATCTAAAATAATTATCCAGTGTTCCTCCAAAACCAAAACAACAAGCAGATATGACTTACAGTGTCTAGATTCTGCATAATGTCCTGAAAGGAAGGGTGTGTCCGAAACTGCTCAAACATCTCCCTCTTGTACAGCAGAGCGTAGACTAGATTAGGATTGTGGTGTAAAGAGTTGCAGAGACAGGAGTTGATGATTTCGAGCATCATGCGGATCACTTCCTCTATCACGTTCAGGTCCTGGGCCTGGGGGAAAGTGAAAATGCAAAGGTTAATTGGTTTCCCACTAGACTGGTTTCACTTATAATGGTGTTTTTTAAATGATTTTTTCTTGATGAAGGCATTGATCAGAGGAAAAGAGGAACAGCAAGGAGTAAGAAATCTCACAAGCAGGCTAAGTTAGAGGTGGGAAACACAGGGCAGAGAGCATCTAGGTCAGCGAACATGACACACTATGTTATGTTTAAACCTGACAGTACTGACAGGTAAGTATGGGGTATGTCCACAATGGTTAGGCGCTAATTTAAAAGTCAGATTTCTAGTAAGTTTCTTGGAATATCTGCACAACTTGTTTATAAGATTCAGTTGAATTTTTTATGACTTAGTTGCAGTTGCAGTATAAAATATTCTGTGATAAGTGGGAAGAGAAGGCAGATGCTTGCAAAGCCAATTAGGTGAATATCAATAAATCAACCAAGATTGGGAAATGAAGTGAACATCTTACACAGTTTATTGTATTGAGAGACAAAACACAAAATGCAATGATCAAGCTGACAAGAAATACATAATACAACACACATTAAGCTTTTCTGTGCTACCATGCACTTGTATGGTTATAGATGCAGCTGTAGATGGTATTACTAAGGGAAAAAAGTCCACTGACCCGAAAAAAAAATAAATAAATAAATAAATAATAATAATAATAATAATAATAATAATAATACTTAAAGTATTAGAATTACTGTAAAAATACATTAGGGTAAAGTGCTCAGTAAGCTAGTTTAATCTTTAATGTACAAGTTTATAAAATGAGTCCATAGCTGACGAAAAAGGTATTTTTCCTTTTCCTAGGGATACAGCATTAATCATTTTAATACAAGATATACTGTATAAGGGGGAGAAAAGTTCATCATCGGTCGAAACACAGCAGGGAGCCCCAACATGCCACGGGCCTTAAAATGCTGTGCTATCCCAGAACTGCATTTACTTGATAAACATCATGGCTGCTTTGACCTGTTTTGCCCAAGAATTCACTAATACCAGCTAAGATCGCATTCACAACAATAGAGGGAGGGCGATCTGATTGGGGGCCGAAATTGTGGCTCAAATCTGGAGCGCATGTGGTGCTTGTTTATGTTGGTCTTTCCTTACTGTGTGGTCTTGTTTTTTACTATGGAGATGAATGTGTTGAAGGGAAACCCACACAAGGGAGATTAGGATGATGGGTGCACCCCGTGGGTTTGGGAGACAAAAGGTGTGTGGTGGACAGTGTAGGACTTTAACAAAAGCAACAGCCGGGAGAAGAGGCAGGAGAGCCCGCTTATAATGAGGATTGATTGTGCGCCTCTCTCTCGACTGTCTAGCTTCAGTTCAGCTCCACTCTATTCTCCTCTGGCAGGCCATAATTAGACTGAAAGCAGGGACAGATACGGGAGACAAGTGAGTAGGAGGACGAGGGAGGCAGGCGAAGGAGGACAGCAGCAAAAAAGGAAGCTGTATGAGGCAAGTATGGTTACTACTGGAAGACAAAACAAAAAGGAAAAGAGGAGAAGGCCAAGTAGAAGCAGCCGGATGCCTAGTATGTTTGTTCTGTGGCTCGGCACCCATCGTAATGAGATTAGGCTGGCAGGGGAAAAATGCCACACTGGGGAATTCAGGTCAAATGAAAATAGGCTAGCTAGACGTCTGCCTGCTCCCTTCTGTATGTTTGTAAAGTAGATGAGATTAAGAGAGCCATGGTCTACTTGAAAGCCAGACAGGATTTAAATATTTCACCTCCATTCTCCACTTTACTGTCTCATGGATGCTTTTAAACAAATGTTTTTCTCACAGCAGCACTGACCATAAAGCAAAGTGTTTAAAAGTGAGGGTGTAGCAAGTCCCATGGTTCTTGCTAATCCCTTCAAAAATGTGTATAGGAGCAATTCTTGATTCTGTGCTGGAAATCAGGAGATTGAGTTGCCCATTTTTATTTCATTTTGTGAAATTCCCACACATGCTATGTGATTTATCAGCATCAGCACACAGACAAGGCCTTAAGTCAAGAAAGCTGCAGCATCACAACCACAGCAGCTGTATCACCCCTGCACAACCTGAAAACAACAACATTGTTCTACTAAGAGAACTAGCTCTCCAGATCATGATGGCGCATCCTCCACTGTGCATAACATCTCTTCTAGCATTTCCTTGTCATGTCAGCAACACTGCAAGCTTTTAGGACTAGAGTAAAAAAAAATACAAATCTCAGCCTTAATTAGGATCATCAGAGCGGCCTTTTCTTGAGTCTTAAAACTATAAAGATATCACAACTGTATACTTGACAAAGACACATGAAACTCAATTCTACTGAATCTACTTGATACATACTTTATGGGACTGGAGCTTGGGGTTTTCCAATATAGAACAAAGTGTTGAGTCTCTATGCAGGGCTAGTTATTATGCAAAGTCACCCAGGCTGTGTTTGCTAGGGGACAAGGGACAAGCCCCTTATACAAGTGATAAGTACTAATTAAGAAAATCTGGAAGGGACTGAATATTCCTAGACTGAAAATGTGGAAGGAGAGAATGATGGACTATGTTGTATATGAGAAGCTGCTCAGATGTTTGTATATATCTGCAGCTCTCTAAATGTGTGTCTAATATTAATTCTGTTAAGTTACACTTACTCTCACTTACTCTCCTTTACTCTTTTTGTTTCTGTAAATTTACCATTTTGTTTTTGTTTAATATGGTACTTTTAATACATACTTAAAAAATATATATATATTGTCATATTTATTTGTGTATGTATTAAAAGGCCCATATTAAACAAATTTGGCAAATGACTGAAGGTTTTGGTTTTCAAAACAGGTATGACAGGTATCTGTGTCTTCTCAGTGACTAGGAAAATTTGCATGATAAAATCTTTTACAAAGAAGTACACTGCCTAAAACACACACAAGGTATTTGTTTAAGTGTCGTATCATCATGGCTTTAAGTGTTTATGTACACTGTATAGAGCAGTCCAAAAAATAGTTTTTTTTTTAGATTCTCTAGATTAGAACCCAGCATTTGGTTCCACATCTAGCCAAAATATTTGGGTCCAAATATTATGCAAATTAGTTAATATTTAGAGGTTGCTCAAGACACTTGAACATTGCCCTAAAGGCCTATACTATAATATAGCGGAGGCGTATTCAGAAAGTCCATAAAAGTTGCTTAGAAAATCCACAAAAAGTTGCTTAGAAAGTCCAGCAACCAACTGTGGCTTTGTTGGCGTTACAAAAGTTGTGCCTGTGCTCTTTGACAACTTGCAGTAGACACTATTTCTGATCTTCATTCTTTGTTAGGCTAAAGTTAAAATTTTGAATAAGCTTCAACCCCTTTCAGCAATATCATGGACAACTTTCCAGGACTGCACAATTTAAACAGCAATCTGCATCATCAGCCCAGTCTGCTGGGGGAATTGTTAAAAATGTTTTTGGCAGAACAAGAGCTTCAAAGAAACGCATCGAGCTGGTGGTGATAAAAATCAGTGATCTGCTTCCCCTCATAATCTGCTTGATTAAGGGCATCACATCGCCTTGGTGTAAGTTCTGAACCTTCCGCTTCCACAATATTATGAACCATAAGCTTCTTCTGTTCTTCTGTCACACTGGAGTCGAAGAATGCCAGGCCAACCATTTCTTCACTCAAGTACCAAAGATGTCGGCCAAAAGCTGTTAAGGATGCTTTCTTGACAACTGAAGTGTCATACTGTGACAGGTTCTTAAGCAATACCAAATCATTTGAAAGGGCTTCAGAACTTCATGTAGAAACTTAATGCAACATGAGCAACCTCTAAAACATCTCCTTTTTCTTCCAAATGTCTTCTTAAAAATTCTTTTGGATGCTAAAACCTAATGCAGGGTTCTAATCAAGGTTATCTGGAACTTTATTTTTTACCATGCTTTGATGGACAACCCTAACAGTGCAGATAGTGAGGTAGGTAATACAAACACGCAAAAACCTGATAGAGCTCAGGATAAGTGACTGATATGCTGATTGGTCACTACTTGCAAATATATTTATTGCACTTCATTGTCAGAATACTTTGGGACGAATGCTGTAGGTACTAGGTTAGAAACAACTGATTAAAAAGGTATGTTTTAGACAATTTAAAAGTTTATAGAGGACTGCTCATAGCCTCATATACAGATGAAGTGGCCTGGTTGGCAACAGCCTTCTGGGAGACTTTAAGAAGGTCATTGTCTGACCTGTATTATGGTGCTAAGGTCACGTTATAATTACACTTGAAGCACTAGTCGAGGCTCTTTGTTTCTCCTATTAACAGAAACAAAGGTTTATGATTCCACCTTCTAATAGTAATACTTTGTGTCAAAGAGAGGGCAGACTTACTGAGGTGAAGTTCACCATAACCGTATTTATACTTCAGGGAAAAGGTGCGCACTTTCTGATGTTAAAAGTCAAAATGTAAACAGCAACAGCTTCCAGCCTTCAAATGGTCAGTGTTAATTGATCAG